AAACAAGAAATGGAAAATTATTTGCTGACAATAACATGTTAATTGATGTGCTTGATTGAGACAATATACAGTGTACTCTGGATGGAAAATCTCATTTTGTATGCTGTAATGATGTACAGTGAATGAATGCAAATAAATAAATTGAAATTAAAAAAAAAAAAAGCAGTAGACATGGGCCAGCCTGAGACCTGATGGTGGAAGTGGCTGAATCCCAAGCAGCCAACTTTTTCATTCAAGTCCTGGACCCGGCACCTGGAAAAACAGGTGCCTGTGTGCACATGCCCAAAAATCCCTATAGAAGCATGGAAGAGAAGGGATTATGGCATGGCTATCCCCACTAGAGAGTGCTTTCTCTTTCTCATTTTTTTTCTCTCCCTCTCTGTCTCTCTCTCTCCAGCAAGCACATATGCCTTATGACAAATTTAAAAAAAATAAATAAATAGCCACAGCACTACCTACGGAGAGCCATCTGCACAGGCTGAACCCATAGGTTGGCAAACGTTTCACAGTTTTCTCCTTAGTGATTTTTTAAAATTATGTAACATAGAGCTACTCCTCTAAATATTAATAGATACCCATGGTTAGTAATACTTATTGTAAGAACATAGATCTTAATAATTTATTGCATCAGGCATATACAAGGGGGGGGTTAAAAGTTCATAGAAAATACAGATTACAAAAAATTATGCAAGGATTTAAGAATGTATTACTTCCTTTCTCTGTCTTTATTGGAAGAATTTATTTTTTATTATTTTATTCAACTTTATTTATCCATTTTTTTAGTGATTTTAATTTGACCAAAGAGGGACAGAATGAGAGAGAGAGAGAGAGAGAGAGAGAAAGCAAGTCGCCAGGTTCGGGACTCGAATAGTAGTCGGCCATGTGGAAGTAAAACACCCTTAACCACCATGCCACCTGCTGGCCCCTGGAAGAATTTAAAATACCCCCCCCCTTTTTTTTTTATTTGGTTAGTCAGGATTTAATTAGATAAACAGAATCAGTAGCAGATATGTTAAGAGATTTGGGGGCTAGCAGGTGAAATGTTGTTAAGGTGAAGGATTCCCCCATGACCAATGACAGTTTGAGTCCTGGACCTGGCAGTTTACATTCTCAATTTCTCTCTCTCTCTTTCCAATGAACACATGTGCACTGTAGTAAATTAAAAAAATAATAATGATAATAAATGAAATGAAATATTTAAAGAAGAAAAAGAGAGGTTGATTCAAGGAATTGGCTTAGGCAGTTGTGGGGGCTGACTAGTCCGAAAAACGCAATGCGGGTCACTGGAACTCTAGGACAAGAGCTGAAGCTTCTGTCTACAGGCAGAATTTCTTCCTCCTCAAGGAAATGTTAGTTCCATTTTTAAGCACATTTAACTGATTGAATCAGGCTGGATTATGGAGGATAGTCTTTTACTTAAGGTCAACTCAGGGAGCCAAACAGTGGCATAACAGTAAAATGCGACCCTGAGGGGCTGACTCACATGGGAGGGATCCAGGTTCTCAACCAGAGATCTCCCCTAGTACACCATGCATGAACATGTCTGTGATCCAGGACTAGCTAAGGCTGGTAGTCAATTGCTATGTCAAGATCACATGGGGGTTTTTTGTCTTTCTTGCAAGAAATAAACTTACCGTTTTCTTTATTCCTGATAGTGCTTGTGGGTACACATGAGAAAGAGAGAGAAGCACCCTCCACCTGTCTGGTCATGTCCCAGTTCCCTTCCTCTAACCCTCCAGCTCATCAGGGTGTTGGGCGTTGGATCATGCGCATGGCTCACTTTCAAACTCACTGGGTCAGGGATTCAAACTGCAGTGACCAAGTGGTTTCCAGTACTGCAGTCTGATAAACTACCTACTGTACTACAGAGGCTGAGTCAAGAAATACATAAACTTAAAAAAAAAATTCAACTGATTTTGGACTTTAATCACATTTATAAAATACTATCACATCACTGCCTGTAACTTTTGCTTGAGTAATTGGGGCTATAACCTAGCCAAGTTAATAAAGAAAATTGATATCACATGTTTATTTAAATACTACAAGCTAAAACATCTTCGTATAATACGAAAAAGGGGATAGCCTGCGTTGGTTAAGGTGGCTGGAACCCACGTGGTTAACTACACAGTTCGACTATTGGAACCAGCAGCATGAAAAACATGCCAGTCATGTTTATGTGTGCCCCAAATGCCAATACCGAGAGGAGAACGGGTAAGAGACTGTAGTGTGTCATTATCTTTGTTAATTTCTCACTTTTTTCTTTTGTCTCTCTCTCTCTGTCCCTCTCCGGTGAGTGCACTCTCTGTAGTAAACTTTAACAAATGGGACCAGCACGTGGCGTAGTGGTTAAGGGCGCTGGACTCCCACATGGCCAACCACAGTCTGAGTCCCTGACCTGGCAGTTTGCTTTCTCACTTTCTTTTTCTCTCTCACTGTCCCCCTTTGGTCAAATTTAAAAATAAATAGATAAATAAATAAAGTTAAATGGAATGATTCTTTTTTAAAAAATTTAACAAATGAACAAACAAAAAAAAAATAAAGGATAGAGAGAAAGAGGAAAGAATGGAGGAAAAAGAGAGAAAGTACCAGGGATAGAGGTCACAATAATTTTCCTATGTATTAGTATTTCCTATCACATACACGAAAGCATCATCAGGCAACAATTAGAAATAATTTGAATTCTAGTGAGCTATAACTCAGTCCTAAATAATATTTATATTTAACGTTTCATTTGTTCTTTGTTTGGTCTTAGGTAACAAATGTGAGCAAATAAACTGCCATTTTGCCTCAAAGATGTCATGTCTGAAATTGGGCTAATCCATAAGATATTAAAATGTTCTTTGCTTTACCTTGAGTATGGAAGGTTGTTCTTTGCCCATACTAAAGCCAGACTTTAGATGTTATTTGTCTCCTTTCTTTCTCTACAAGTCAATCACTTTCATCACAGAGGAGCAGGGCTGGTATGAGTATATTGCCTATTATGACAAGTCTCCCATGACTGACTAATGCATGACCATCATGTAAGAAGACATCCACTGGGACTCTGGGACTCTGTGTATGCAAAAAACACTAGGAGAGAAAAATGACTCCTACATGTTAAGATTTTCCTTGTTCATGCTCATTAGCATGTTAATAAGCACTCGCTGTCCTTCTTCCATAATAGAAGCTAGACCTCACTTCTTAAACAGACTGGTATCAGGACACTACTTCTTCATGAACATTGACAATAAAGTCGTTATACTCTCTAGTCTATTTTGTTGCAAATAACAGAAAATACTTGAAACTGGATAATTTATAAAAATAGAGCTCATGGGGCCAGCAAGTGGCATGGTGGTTGAGGTGCTAGACTCCCACATGAACAACCACAGTTTGAGTCCTGGACTTGGCAGCTTGCTTTCTCACTTTTCCTCTCTCTCTTTCTCTCTGGTCAAATTAAAATAAATAAATAAATGATGGTAATAAATAAAATTAACTAAAATAATTCTTAATTTTTTAAAAGAATTATTTTATTTTACTTCATTTATTTATTTTAATTTGGCCAGAGAGAGAGAGAGAGAGGGATAGGGAAAGGTCCAGAACTCGAACCACAGTTGGCCATGTGGGAGTCCAACGCCCTTAACCACCATGCCACCTGGTGGCCCCTAAAAGTTCCAGTTCCAAGGCAGCATTTGGTGAGGGTCTTCTGGCTATATTACAATGTGGAGCAGGGCAGGAGTGTGTGCACCTGGGTCTATGTGTCTCTGCTCTGGTCTCCCTCCCTCTCCTTATAAACCCACAGGAGTCAACCACAGGAGCCTATCCTAATGACCTTAAGCCTAACCTCATCCCAAAGGCTTTACCTTTCAACCTCATAGTTGGATTAATTTTTTCCCCTCTTAGTCCTGTCAAAACCACGTCTCAACACATGAATTGGGTGGGGAGGGGTGGCATTCGAACCATAGCACCATCAATTAGGCTACCTAATTTTAGTGCTGATGATAAAACATGGTTATCTGAAGGGTAAAAAGATGATGGTAACTGAACTGAAAGACTTAACAGATGCTACCTTTCCAAAACTACAGAAAAATTTATTCCAATTTTCAGGCCTTAAGATAGGAGAAAAACTAGTAACCTGACAAAGCTAAAGTAATGAATAAGAAGAGGAAGATGGGGAAATTGTTCCTTTTGTACCTGGTAGTCATATCCTAGAATAAATAAAATAATTATATGGTGTCCTACTTTACCTGCCAATAATATTTAAAGTTCTCATGAAATATCTATAGATTCTGCTATAAAAGACTGATGACAAAGAAATGGCATGGTATCCCCAGTAAAAGTAAAGACATTGAGTTCAAGTCATTCTCCATATGCTGTTAAAAACATATAAGCATAGGGATCAGCAGTTAGTGTAATGGCTATGTCTCTGGACTCCCACGTAGTCGACCATGGTTCGCGTCCCGGACCCGGTGGCTTAAAACTCACGCTAGGCGCGTGTGCATGCATGCCCAAGATCCCGAGAGGAGAATGGAGGAGAAGGGATTGCGGCGTGGCCATCTCCACTGGAGGGTGATTTCTCGCTTTCTATCTCTCTGTCTCTCTGTCTGTCTGGTGAGCGCACGCGCCCTATAGCAAAAACCTCTCCAGAAAAAAAAAAAAACTGCAAGCATAAATGTTACAAAACACAATACACAAATACAATATATATAGTAGAAAATGAAATTCAACTTTTTTGTTTGAATGCAGCAATGATTGGCTGACTGCAGGCCTTTGAAATTTCCTTAGAACCTAAATGTGTAGGAAAGAAGGGGATATATATCTAGGAAAGAGAGAGATGTTTGTTTTCATAGGGTCATAAAACTTCAGCAGTTATTCATCATAAGATTGTGAGATTGCCCAGTCCAACACTTTTGTTTTGAACTTTAGAAACTGAGGCTCACAGGGCCAGCAGGTGATGTGGTGGTTAAAGTGTTGTACTCCCACATTGTTGACTGCAGTTTGAGTGTCATACCTGGTCACTTGCTTTCTTACTTTCTCTCTCTCTCTGTCTTTCTCTCTCTCTGTCCCTCTCTCGTGGGTGCACATGACCCAAAGCAAAATTGTAAAAATAATAATAATGATAAACAAAATTAAATAAATAATTCCTCAGAGGGAAAAAAGAAACGGAAGCTCAGAGGGCAAATGCAGTCTTAAGAGTGTTATCTGTGAAGTGACCACCACTCCACTTTCAGCTTGGATCAAATATGGTAATTTATAAAACAATCCCAAACCCTCTAATGACTTTTCCTTCTGCATCCAACAAAAAGCAGCATTCCAAAATAATGTTACTTAAAATTGTAAAAAATACAACTCTAACACATCCTGATTCAACATGTCAAAAATTCTCTTGGAAGAAATATTCCAGGCAAGGGACCAGCTGGTATGGTGGTTGAAGCAGCTGGATCCCACCTGATTGGATGTGTGGTTCAATCCCTGTCTTCAGCAGCTTAAGGAACATGGTGGGCTCATGTGCATGTGTGCCCAAAATCTCGAGCGGAGAAATGGAAGAGAAGGGATGCAGCATAACTATCCCTGATGACGGCTACTTTTTCACTTGCTCTATTTCTCTGTTTTCTCTCCAGTGAGCGTGTGCACCCTCTAGCAATTAATATTATTTTTTTTTTAGATTTTTTCCATAGGATGTGTGCACTCACTGGAGAGAGAGAGAGAGAGAGGGAGACAGAGAGAGGGAAAATGAGAAAGTGAGAACTCACACCCCCCTCCCCGGGGGGAATGGTCATGCTGCAATCCCTTTTCCATTCTGCTTTCAGGATTTTCGACACATATGCACATTCACCTGGTATGTTTTTAAAGCTATAGTCCGGGACACCAACTGCAGAGTTGACTATGTGGGATCCAGTGCCTTAATCACCACACCACTTGTTGATTCCTTTTCTAGCAAAAATTTTTTAAAATAAATAATTTTTTAAAGGGACCAGCAGTTGGTGTAATGGCTGTGTCTCTGGATTCCCATGTAGTCTACTGCGGTTCATGTCCTGGACGCGGTAGCTTAAACTCATGCCAGGCGCATGTGCACAAAGCATAACCATTATCTATCTTGTAAGACTGTAAGTTAATTTTGGCTGTTTTTAAACTTAATGTACATGGAATCATACTATATGTACCCTCCTGAGTTTCATTCCTTATGTTTGTAACATTTATTTATATTATTGAGTGGACTTGTAGTTCATTTTTATTACTGTAGAGTGTTCCATTGTGTGACTACACCATTTAATTACCTGTTTTACTAAATAAATATGGCTGGTGGGCATGTGAGTTGTTCATAGATTGGACATATCTGTTTCCTAGAGCAGTCATAATAAAATGCCATAAACTGGGGGCCAGTAGGTGGCATAGCGGTTAAGGCACTGGATTCCCACATAGCCGATCACGGTCCAAGTCTTGAACCCAGTGGCTTAAAATTCATGTGGAGCATGTGTGCCCAAAATCTTGAGAGGAGAATGGAGAAGGGATTGTGGTGTGGCCATCACCCTGGGAGGTGATTTCTCAACTTTGTCTTTCTCTACCTCTCTCTGGAAATTACACATGCCCTGTAGCAAAAATTAAAAAGACAACAACAATGGGACCAGCAGGTGGCGTGGTGATTAAGGCACTAGACACTCCCACATGGCTGACCATGGTTAGTTCCCAGACCTGGTGGTTTGCTTTTTCACTTTCCCTCTCTCTCTCTCTATGTCTCTCTCTGGTCTAGTTAAAAATAAATGAATGAGAGACCAGCAGGTGGCATAGTGGCTAACTTGCTGGACACTCCCACATGGCTGACCACGGTTCGAGTCCTGGGCCTGGTGACTTGGTTTCTCGGTTTCCCTCTCTCTTTCTATCTCTCTCCGTGTCTTTCTCTGCTCAAATTAAGAATAAATGAATGAATAAATAAAATTAAATAAAAAAGTAATGATTAAAAAATAAATAAATAAATAAATAAATAAACAAACTAAAATAAATAATTCTTAAAACAACAACAACAAGAATTAACTTCTCATTCCTTTCTTTTTACTTTTTGTCTCTATGGGTTCTTTTTTTTTTTTCTATAGGTTTTTTGTTTTGTTTATTTTCAATTTTTTCAATAGAATGCTTGAGCTCTCTGGAGAGAAATGGAAGGAAAGTGAGAAATCACCTCCGGGAGGGATAGACACGTTGCAATTCCTTCTCCTCCATTCTCCTCCTGGGATTTTAGGCATGCACACACATAAGTCCAACATGATTTTCAAGCCACAGAGCCCAGGGCTTGAATCATAGTCAGCCATGGAAGTCCAGCACCTTAACCACTATGCCACCTGCTGGCTCCATGTCTCCATGATTTTGACAATTCTAGATACTTCATGCATGTGGAATCATACAAGAGATTTCCTTCGGTGCCTGGCTTATTTTACTTAGCACAATGTCCTTAAGTTCATCTGTGTTGTAGTATGTGTCAGAATTATTTATGTGTGTAAATAATATTTCATTTTATTATATATCACATTTCCTTTACCCAGTCATCAATGGGTGATCATAGGGTTGTTTCCACTCTGGTTATTTTTCTTAATCTTCACAACTCCTGTCCCTGACAGGCTTGAATTTTTAAACTGGCTCTGTCATTAACGTGGGAGTTGACACTGGCCAAGTTGAATTTTCTCTTTGTATCTTAATTTCCTCATTTGTACAATGGTCATGAAAATACCCCCTCCTGGACTGGAGTGAAGATTTAATAAAATAACATGGTCTCTGCTATGGAGTCTGTCATACCGTGGGTATTTAACAATTGACAGCTATAAAGGAAATAATTCATGTGGATAACAGACAACTCAGGAGTCTGTTCTGTGCATCTCAGGAGGAGTCAGACAAATGTATACAGTGTAGCTCTGGCTTTAGAGAAAGTGAACTAAGAATTTGTGTGTGTGTGTGTGTGTGTG